ACCCCCTACTCAGGAAAACCTTTCCGGATCCTCCACAATTGGTACAGATGCTTCTCTCTGTGTCCATGCTGTTTTTCTAATGTGTATGACACAGAATTGATGCGGCCTCTTTACTTTTCTTCTTCATGTAGGCTGAAAGAGTCTTAAAGAATCCACTACCAGAGTGACTGGAATGATAAATACTATGGATGAATGCTAAGTTTCTTCTTTCTTTAGAAGACAATAACGTATGTGTATATTTACTTTTTTTTTTTTTAATAAAAAAGAAGGTGCCTTGTGTGTTTTGGTCCAGTGGAAGGAGTATACAATTTGTTTTCAGAAACTGATCTGAGTTCCAGTTCTGGTTTTGATACTTTCAAGCTGTGAGACTTTGAATGAGTCACTTAGCCTTCCCTGCATTGCATCCTGCATCTGTAAGTCCAGGGGGTTGAACTACTGAGCTTTAAGGTTCCTCCAAGCTTTAATATTCTTTAAGACTTTGAGACCAAGGCAAGCCTGGATTTCCATGCAGGCTTCTGTCCAGACAAGCAAATCCACAGAGCAGCTGAGATCCCCAGCCTTTTCCAGGGGTCGCCGCCTCCTCTCCTCCCTCCACATCTCAGCAAATATTAGCAGCCAAGGGCCTCGTGGAGTGTGGTTTTTAATAGAATCCAATTTCAGTCCATTTAGAATGGGGCTTTCCATGCTGACTCGGTAATTTGAACTGTGCCACGCCTGATGGACTAAGTGCATTCTCCCTGCCTCCCCTGCCTGCTCTGGGCTGGTGTGGACAGTCAGCGCAGACTCTGGGAGTGGCCAGGGGAGCATCTAAATCCAGGCAGCCGCGGATGACCCATCTGACCGGCCCGGAGCCATGTGATGTGGGTACCAAGGACACTGGAAGGGGAGTGGGCAGTGCCCATTCTGGTTCCTGACAATTGCCTTTTCTTCTCTGGCCTCTGGGGGACTATCAGGGAGAAAACTGTGTCGATCGTTGGACGTAACTAGAGGACACTTGGTTCTGAAGACCATTAGAACAATCCCAGGGGATTGCTGTGGCGTTCATCCAACTAGGAAGGGTATGGGGTAGGGCATGGGGCTTTCGGAGGCCCCCTACCAACTCCCATTCCTGCCAAGCACTTGCCTTATTTTTTTATTTTTTATTTATTTTATTTTTGTTTATTTGCCTTATTTTATCAGAGAGTAACCCCAGGGCCTGTTGGAAGGTCCCGTTTGTCTAACGTGCCACGTGTATCAGAGCGGGAGGTGAACATACGGGTATTATTAGCAGCTATGCTCCAAATGAGGAAACTGAGGCCACAGAGGGTGAGGGGAAGGCAGTGGTTGTCTATGTTGTGCTGACTCTGCACAGTTATTTCTTTTTTTTTTTTTTCTTTTTTGACAGGCAGAGTGGACAGTGAGAGAGAGAGACAGAGAGAAAGGTCTTCCTTTGCCGTTGGTTCACCCTCCAATGGCCGCCGTGGCCAGTGTGCTGCAGCCGGTGCACCGTGCTGATCTGATGGCAGGAGCCAGGTACTTCTCCTGGTCTCCCATGGGGTGCAGGGCCCAAGTACTTGGGCCATCCTCCACTGCACTCCCTGGCCACAGCAGAGAGCTGGCCTGGAAGAGGGGCAACCAGGACAGAATCCGGTGCCCCGACCGGGACTAGAACCCGGGGTGCAGGCACCGCAGGTGGAGGATTAGCCTAGTGAGCCGCGGCGCCAGCCAAGCACAGCTATTTGTAAATCTTTTCAACACCCTTCTAAGGTAAATAACGTTATCTCCATGAGCAGGCTACGGAATAAGGGTCAGGAAAGTCACATGGCCACATGACTAACGGGAAGATGGTACTCAACAAAGCTCCATGTGTCCACTCCAAAGCTCACGAGGCTTGAAGACATGGAGCCACGGGCTCTGAAGTTGGGCCGCGTCAATAGTGGCCCTTTACTTGGCTGGTCAGAACAGTCAAAAACCATTAGTATCTTGAGCTTTATCCCTGAGAGTCTGATTCCGTGAGCCTAAGGCCGAGCCTGAAAATTGCACTTTTAAAAACCGATTGCAAGTGATTCTGACATTTTGGAACACACAAGGCTGGAGCATGTGACTTCCCTTCTGACTTGGGTCGCCTAGGACTTCATTTCCCAGGGATGGCTCTAGTTCAGCTCTGGACTTACCTCTAGTGACATTTGCCACTGGATCCTTATTAAATTGTGCTGGACATTCTAGCTGCAAAGATGAAGGAGCCACAGCGTTTGCCTCGAGAAACATCTAGGTGGTGAGAGAGATGAATGCAGCTACCAAGTCCCGACTGACTCACTGAAGCAAACACTAGCAGCGATGGGCTCGTGACGCTTTAGGTGTGCAGACTAAGGGGTCCAGGAAGGCCTTCTAGTCATCGACTCCAGGTCAAGATCTAAGGGAGTTAGCAAGGCAGAGAGAGGGTGGAAGATGAGGAGTGGCTACAAGACAGAGGGAAGAGCTTGGAAAGGCCCAGATGGCTCAGGGAAGCACCAGAAGTTGTGCGGCAGTGGGTCAGGGAAGCCTGGGGAAGTCAGTGGGAGAAACTCTGTGGAAGGCTTGTGTACTGTGTTGACGAGGACTTGGCCCTTCGTCCCTAAGGGTTCGAAGTGCCACTAACGGTTGTTAAGCTGTGAAGTGACATGATCAGAGTATGTTTTAGAACTGTCACCCTGATAGAAATGAGAGCATGAAGCTGGCAAAAGAGGAACAAATTAATTTCAGAATTAAGAATTTATGTATGTCGAAAAGCACCATAAACAAAATATGAAAGCAAAGCACTTGAAAAGCATATTTGCAGCATTTCTTGACAAAAATAATATTCTTCATAAAATTACAAATTGATAATAAACATACCAATATCAAAGAAATAGAAAATTCACAAAGAAAGAATACAAATGGTCAACAAGCATATGAAAGTGTCATTCACTAGTAGTCAACGAAAGTTAAAATAACAACCTGAAATATCATTGACATACTATTATTTTTGCTGTGAAACTGTTAGAGTTTGCTAGGTGACAATACCCAGGGTTAGGACAGAGGGGCCAGTCCCAAGCCTACAAGGACAGTGTTAGGGTACAAACTTTCTGGAGGGCAGATGGCAACACATATAAAAATTTTAAAAAATAGCCTAGCAAATTCCTTCTTGGAGTTTATCCTAAGGAAATGGGAATGTATGCAAAATTTAGTTACAAGAATGTCTGTTGCAATATTATGTGTCGTCAACACTGGGATTAAGTGAAATAACTGCTATCTGAGAATTGATTACGAAGGGACCAGGGTCCATTCAAAGAGTGGGGATGCCTCTGGAAAAGTCTGAGAGACACGCAGAAAGTATTCACAATTGATTAAGCAAAGGAACAGAAGCAAAAAATGTGCTCAGTGTGCTACCATTACAAGGATAGCAATACACACATAAATATGTGTATTTGAAAAATGTCTCATTAGCTCCAGGAGGATTTACAAGAAATGAGTGAAACTGGATCCTGGAAGACAGGGAGGGAAGTGATTTCTGCCTGATATTAGAGCTTTTTGTATGTTTTGAATTTTGTATCTCTGCATGTATACTATATTCTTAAATACACTTTTTTGTAAGTTATTCAAGAGCATATGTAATAATGACCGAGTTTATTTTTAAAATAACAACAAATGTGCATGTGTATGTTTATATCAAAAAGAACTAAAAGATGTATCTGAAAGGTTAAAAATATTTGTCTTGGTGGCAGGATTATGGATGGAATTTTGGACTTTTTTCTTATTTTTCCCCCCCTAGAAGTTCTTCTATAACACACACGTGAAGGTTACATGATAATTAAACAAAAGGTATAATTTTCCCCCCAAACAGTTTTTCACGAAAAGTTCAGGCTGAAGGTGACAATGCAGGTCAGGTCCATGATTAGTGCTCTGTGCAGTTCAGCAGTGCCATCTGCAAGCAAAGCTTGTAATTAAACCACAGGCCCAGTGTTTGGGAGGGGTGGAGAAGCAAGTGCAAGGTCTGGGGAGGTGAGTGGACTTGGATTTGCTTAGCAGCTCTTGGAAGGGTCTGCTGGACAAATGCACGGGGAATTCAGCCCTGACCCCAACACCAGCCAGTACCCCAAGCAGCTCGTTTCTTTGGGATTCTTTAAGTTCAGGTCACAGTGAATAGAATCCCAATAAGCATGTGTCTCTAAGTCCCCAGACAAGCAGACGGCCTGTGCTTGTGCTCTGAGGTTCTGGGAGGTTGTCCTCACATACTTGCAATTTTTAGGCTTTCTCCTTGGGATGGCAACAATCTCATCTCCATCCGCCCAGCCCTGCCCCAGCACACTCACTTGAGCAAGACCCCTCTCCTGCGACCCGGTGGGAAGTTAGCCCAAGTCTTGGCTGAGGCATGGAGGACAAAGGAAGAACCTGCACATCTGAATGGGTGCTGTCGCCACCCTGACCTCATCTCCATCCTTCAAACCCCAACAACCTTTCTGGGCAGGAGGCTTGGGGATGCGGGAGTTCTGCACGCTTGACTGCGGTAGGCCTCAGGGTAGTTCTGGATTGGGACCACATGAAGCTGTCCAGAGGAAGAGGGCAGAGAGCGTGGTATGGTAGTCAGGGGAGAGTGTAAAAGAGCTTTTCACCTTTCCTCTTCTCCAGAGGGTGAGCTAGAACCCTGCGTGGTTCTGGCCCCTTCCTGCCAGCCCTGCTGGAAGTCTTGGGGAGTTGTGCAAAACATAACCTGCACTGCTGGCTCCTGAGCCCCTCAGCAGCGACTGCATCCTGCAGAGGTGCAGCTCTGTTGAAACAAACAACCTGCCACTAACTTCCACCTGGGGCTGTTTCCTTTTGGGTTTTGCCTATAAATATGATCCTTCCCCAATGCTGGGGACGAGGAATGCTAGGCCGGCTGTTAGAATGTGCCCTGGCCCATCAGTCGGGACAATGAACAATGCCCAGCAATCTCTTCTGGGTTTCAGCGGTCTTTTCCTGGACTGTCTGCTCAGAACACTAGAGATTCTAAGTCTCTAGTGTTGTTTTTTTTTTTTTTTTTTTTTTCCCTGCCTTGGGTAGGTAAATACTGAGGAGGCCCAGGTGCTGCTATTGATATGGAGAATGCGTTTCAACCTCATCCACAGGGTCCTGCTCTTAAGCAGTTGTAACTGCCCCACATAATACGCATGAAGAAGCAACTAATACAGTGTAGGTACCAGCGAGGGATCTGGAGTCAAGGAGGCCTGATTCAAATCCCACTGGCACCATTTCAAGGGCACACATCCTCTGGGTAGTTCATTTTTGTTTTCTTGTCCATCAAATGGGAATAATATCCACAGAGCAACTGCGTGAAAGAAATGAGATTGTACATGTAAAGATCTGAAGATAGTGCATTTAATAAATCCTAACTATGAACATTATTGCATCTGTATATAGTTTAGTTTTGTACAATATTGTCTTTTTCACTAGTCACACGAAAAATACATGAAAGTGCTTTGAAAATTTTTAAGCATCATATAAATCAAAGGTGTCATTGGTAATAATCTCAAATTAGCATTTCTCAACTCTTCCATCTCTTTGAAGACTGGGACTACATCCTACGTCCCACAGCGAATTGCACAACCACGGGCAAACAAAAAGCCCTCAGTAAATGTTTCTTGTTTAACTGAAGCAACACGGCATAGCATAAAGAGCATAGATTTCAGGAGACTCGACTGGGATAAGATTAGTTTAAGGCAGGAGAGCCAGTCTGCAGTCACGATTTATTCAACAAATATTTGTTGAACTCGTTCTGCATGCGAGAGAGTCAGTCCAGATAACTTCATCAACAAGAGGCTGTACACGTTCCCACAAAACCAAGCCTCTGGGCGGTCTCCACAATCCCAGTCTACTCTCAAAAGCACAAAGGCTGCAGTCAACACTGGACAAATGGCCAGTTGCTTTGGGGGAAGCCCCATCCTGCCTGGCTCTAAGTAGCTCTGATTGAGGGAGTTGGGGGAGGGAGTAAACGTGAGGGAGAAGGCTGCTTCCAACAGACACGACAGGGATGTGTCTGCGAATTTATTTCTATTTACACCCAATTAGTCCACAGTCAAATCCTTCAGCCTATACGATGCTATGCTCTTCCCCCAGCCACACCTCCCTCCCTTCATCTGTGTGGATTCTCCGCCCCAGCTCGAGGCCCACTTCACCCTGCCCTGCTGTTGTCAGCTGCCTGCTGGCTGGGAGTCATGGGAATGGTATGTGTGGTCACCAGAGGGCACTGAGAGTGGGCTTGGTGGCATGTGAATCCTGGCAGTCTCGGATCCCCAAGGTGGGGGGAAGAACACACAAGCCAAGACAAGTGGGGGGGGGGGCAGCAGGGGTTGAAGTGACTGGGGGAGTGGGGGAACTCCAGTGTACCAGTTCATGGTCTCTGTGTTGGCGTGGCCAATGCTTCCGGTGTCTGTCCCATGCCTGATTGTCTCAGATGCCTTGAGACGCTCTGGTGTGTCAGAAAGCTGCAGAAGGGTCCAGGCCACGGGCTCCATGTCTGCTGCCTTTGGGATGGTGCACCTGCCAGGCTCCGCCTCTGTTGGAGGCGCTGGCCAAGGTCAAAGCCGCGATGGCATTTCCAGGCGGAAGTTAGGCCCCTCTCGGTCACTGGCTGACCTTCTAAAGAAGGGGGTGTCTCCGTCGCCCGGGTACCCCACCAGATTCCAAATGTGCTTCTCTCCTTCTTTTCACACTGGATGCAGACGAAGAGTTGGGGGACAACAGGAGGAAGAAGGGGAGATGGGAGAAGTGAGGAGGGGCGGGACCCGGGGAGGGCTCTCCACAGGAGGTGCCTGGATGTCCCTGGTCCGGCGAGGGCACGGCTCTGGAGAGGCCTCCTGGTTACATGGCTTCTTTCTCTCTCTGGGAGCACCTGCTGAGCTTCATCTCTGTCAGCTGGATATACCGAATCACATTGGTGTCTGTGAGGAGAGAGACACACCTTGGGAAACACCTGGCAGGACAACCACCGTGTCTGCCGAGAACATATGAGCTGGGTTGCAAGCCACAAGCAGGCCAGACTCATTGGCCCTTCGGCCAGTGCTGGCCTTCTCCTTCCCACCCACCCTTTGCCAAGGGCAAGGGTCACTGTGACCCAGGAGACAGACGAGGGGGAGGGGAGAAGAGAATTTCTCCCCTTTTGTCCGTACAGCAGGAAGCCCAGTGGTCTCCGAGTCAGCAGTTTGAGACCCTCCCCCTTGGAGTTGAACCTCAGGCAAGTTACCCCCTTCTCCTACCTTACTCTCTCACCTGCAAGAAGCAACGTCTGCTTTTGAATGCCTACTCAGAGCCAGGTTTTGAACCTTCATTATCATATTTACCACTACTGCAATCCTGCAGGGTACGTGGCATCGCCCTTGCTATGAAAAAGGGAAGACCGGGCTTTGGAGAGATTGAATCAGATGCCCAAGGAGTCACACAGTCAACGGTGTGTCAGCCCAAAAGCCTGCCTCTCCTGGGGACCATAATGCCCTCCTCATACAATTGCTATGAGGACCAAACCAGGTGAGTCTGAAAGTGCTTAACACAGTGATTAATAAATATTAGTCGGATGTAGTTTTTTTAACTTTAAGATTTGAAAATGACTTTGCTTACTTCTGTCCATATAAGCAGGGTCAGACAATCACGCCTCCATAAAGAAAGCCAATTCCAATCCCTAAATTAGCGAGCAGGGCAAGGCCTGGCAAGGCTGCTTAGCTCTGCGCACACTGAAATACGGAGTTAGAGAGATGCCTGGGGTAGGAACTTTCAGTAGACATGAATACCGCATCGCTGCCAGGCACGACATCCAGGTCAATGCTGGCCTAGAGTAGGTGCTTAAGCAAATCCTGCAGAATGAGTCCAGTCCTTAGGCTCACGCTGCTTATGGTATATGATTGGTGGGACACAATTTACATATGGAAAACAATACATACATGAGTGTTCTTAGAAAAGAACTCCACTGTACAAATTCAAGGTCTCTGTGTTGGCTTTTGCAAATTGATCCTAAAATTCTTAAAGACTTCTTTTTAAAAACAATTAATTAATTTGAAAGGCAGAAAGACAAAGAGAGAAAAACAGACACAGACAGAGATAGATGAAGAGGTCTTTCTCCCCCAGTGCCCACAATAGCCAGGGCTGGGCCAGGATGAAGCCAGGAGCCTGGAACTCAATCTGGGTATCCCATATGGGTGGCAGGGACCCAACTGCTTGAGCCATTACCCCTGCCTCCCAGGGTTTGTGTTAGCAGGGAGCTAGAATCAGAAGCGGAGCCAGAATTCAAAGCCAGACACTCTGATATGGAATGTGGGCGTCCCAAGCAGTGTCTTAATCTCTGGACCAACAATGCCCTTACAGGCTTCTTGGAAGAAGAACTACATTAAAAAAAATCAGCCATATGAACAACAATGACAAGTCACAAGTCATTGCTTTCCTGTTACCTCCTCAGGGAGGCCTTTCTGATCACGTGATCTAAGACAGCATCCTCCCCTTGCTCTTGGTCTCTTCACTCGGCTTTATTTTCTTTACAGCACTCCTACATGTTACATTATCTACTTGTCCATTTGCTTGCTGTCCATTTTCCTCCATTATAACATAAACTCCTTGAAGGTGGCAACTTTCTTTTTATTTACTGCTATGTACTCATTATCTAGAATAGTTCCAAATCTATTGCACTCCCTCAATAAATATGTGTGGAATGAATGACTGGGCAAGCTACGGCTGTGACCTAAGTGAATGGTACAGATGACACATGCTAAGGAATGGGATCTGGTCAGAGCAGTCAGAGCAGGCTTCCTGACAAATGCTTGGCTTAGCATTCAATTGTCTTTCTGGGGGTCGGGATTTAGCAGAGTGGCTAAGAAGCCAGGTAACATGCAGGCATCCCTTATCAGAGCAGTTGGGTTCGATTCCTGGCCGTGGCTCCTGACTCCAGTTTCCTTTTATATCGACTCATCAATGGGAGGCAGCAGTGATGGTTCAAGTAGTTGAGTTCCTGCCACTCACATGGGAGACCCAGATTGAGTTCCTGGCTCCTAGCTTAGGACTGGAGGACTGGAAGGAAGGCTGGCCCGGTCCTGGCCATTGTGGGCATTTGGGGATTGCACCTGCAGATGGGAGCTTCTCACTCTCATTTTTCAAATTAAAAAAAAAAAAGATAGATAGATAGATAGATAGACATTTGTGTATTATGTCTCACCAACCAGATGTGAGTTCTCTCAGACAGAGGCCCTGTCTTCTCATCTACATCCCTGGTGTCCCACACTGACCTTGGCAAGCAGCATAAAGTCAACATGCATTTATTATAAGTGAAGACAGCTGGAGACTGTGGTGGAAAGACAAAGAATCTGTCCCCTCTCTGAAGAGGACAGCTGCCTAAGCTCTCTGGAGCCCAGACCCCAGGTGAGTGCAAGGACTGTGTGCTCTCCTCATTTTAGGTCCTGGCACACACCTTAATTTGACCCCCTATTTGTCTCCACCCAGCTCTGCCAGCCATGAAAATTGTTCACTGCGCTGAGGGGCCCCAGGAGCTGCCAGAGGGAGGGGACCGGAAGAGCCATCGCTGCCTTACCTGTTGGCTGCCGGGTCCTCGCCTCTTTCAGGTAGTAGAGCGCTTTGTCGTAGTCCCCGAGGTGGTAGAATGCCACGCCAGACCGGTACAGGGCCTTGAAGTTCTCCCCTTCCTTCTTCAGGACCTTGAGGCAGTACTCCTTGACTCGCTCATAGTTCACCAGCTCAGCCTGGAGCAGGCAGGCTATGGAAGAAGAGGGAAAAGAGAAGTGGCAGGCTCTGAACGTGTCCTGTTAGTTCCTTCTCCCCAGAGAAGGGCTAGAGATCTCAGGCTTCCCGCTGCCGTGTATGCCATGGGGTTTCCATCCAGCAATCCTAGACTCCAGGACCAGTTTCTTCACTAACAACTGCCGTGACCTTGAGCAGGTAACTTAGCCTTGTGTTATGCGTTGAATTATTATGCTGAAGTCTAAGACCCCAGGACCTGAGAATATGAACTTAAACTTGGAGACAGGGTCTCTCTAGGGGTATCAGGCTCAAATGAGGTCATTTGAATGGGCCCCATCCAATGTGACCGGTGCCCTTATAAAGAGGGTAAATCTGGACACACAGACAGATGCATGCAGAGGAAAGAGGATATGGGGACACACAGGAAGAAGACGGCCATCGGCAAGGCAAGGTGTGTCTGAGGCTTCCGGAAGCCAGGAGAGAGGCGTGGACTAGACTTTCCCTCAGAACCCCCAAGATCCACCAGCACCTTAATCTTGCACTTGCAGCCTTCAGAACTGAGAGAGACAATACTTTTCTTTTAAGCCACCCAGCTTGTGGGACTTTGTTAAAGCAGCCCTGGGCTGCTACTCAAGGCCAAGTGAATAATAGTCACCTTGATATTTATTGAGTGTTTGCCTTCTTCCAATGCTTCTCTTGTGTATTACCTGAAGGAACTCCTGGAATACTCTGATGGAGGTACTATTATTATTCCTAGCTCACAGGTGAGGCAGCTGAGACTCAGAGAGTTTTCAGAATTTCTCATGTTCATACAACACAAAAAAGGGATGAGACTGAAACTGAAGTTGTCAAGCTCCAAGCCCAAGTTCATCCTTACCAAGTTGTTAGGGGAATTCTATAAAATCGTGGCCATTAAGTATGTAACACAGAGCTTGGCACACAGTGAGCACTTGAACAATGTTAGTTCACATTCTTGTCCCAGATATCTGCCTTGGGCTTCCCGCAAGTTCCTTTTCCTACCAGTCTGTCTGTGCAGCTCCTGAGAGCAGGAGCCTTTTGATGGGCTAGTGAGCAGCTCGCACAGGGCACGCTTCTGCACAGGAGAGAGTTGGCATCCAGGGCAAGAAGTGAAGGCTGCGGGTGCCCATGGTGTGGACCCTCCCAGTCCATAAGCACCCATCTTCGAGTAAGCCATCTCTCTCTCTCTCTCTCTCTCTCTCTCTCTCTCTCTCAGAAGCTTCCTCTCACCAGCTCTGAGCCATGAAGCATGGCCAGGCTGAGGATGTCCCTGGAGGGTGGTTGAACCACTGCAAAGTGGAATTGTGTACCACAGCCCCTCACATTATCCCAGCCCTATTGAACCACCTCTGCCTCCATTCATTCACTCAAATACTTGGTTTAAAAATTATTTACTTTTATTAATTTTATTTATTTGATAGGGAAAGAGAAGGGACATCACTCATCTGCTGGTTCATTCCCCAAATGCTCACAGCATCTGGGGCTGTGCCAGGCGAAAGCCAGGAGCCAGGAACTCCATCTGGGTCTCCTATGTGGGTTGTAGGAAACTAATCATTTGAGCTATCACCTGCAGATTCCCAGTGCTTGCATTAGCAGGAAGTTGGAATCAGGTGCAGAGCTGGGACTGGAACCCAGGCACTCTGATATGGGAGGTGGGTACCCAAGCAGCACCTTCACCCCTGCGCCAAACACATGATCCAGTCACTAACATGTTTAGTTGGTATTGACAGAGAGCAGAGAGACACGTAATATCCTTTGGAGGGATTATTGTTTTTTTTAAAAAAGTACCTTGCCTACTTTTTCAAAGTGGATCAAAATAGAGGCTTAGGCAAAACTTGGTTGCTTCCCACCAAGACCTAGCTGAGTGGGGTGGGGGAGAAAGCTTGCTCAGATTTTTCCCACCATGGAAGAAGTGCCCTTGGGATAGGGACATGTCACTATTTTTTTTTTTTAATATGAGAGAGACAGACAGACAGACAGAGAGATATGTGTGCATTCACCTCCAAATGCCTGCTATGGCCCAGGTTGGGCCAGACTGGGAACTCAAGTCAGGCCTCCCATGTGGGCAGCAGGAGCCTGACCACTTGAACCATCACTGCTGCTTCCCAGGGTCTGCATTAAAAAAGCTGGCGCCAGGAATCAAACTCAGCCCCTCTGATGTTGGATGTGGGCGTCTTGACCACTAGCCTGAACACCTGCCCCAAGTTACTGATTTTCATCTTCAGGGGTCTAACTTCAGTTGTTCTCATCCCTTCAGTGACTCCCCTGGTATCAGACCCACTGAACTGCTTCTTAAGACACCAGGCCTTTCATTGTGCATGTGGGACAAGGAACCCATCCTTTCGCAGGGCGAGGAGGTGAACACATAGATACTCAAGTTTGCAGGTATGAGAACCAGGAAGTGAAAGAGAATCAGCCCAGATCTAGAGACCGACCTGTCAGGTTTCACCGGCTGCAGAGCAGAAAGCTACACCAGTCAACAGAAGCCATGGGCTGTGAACTCCAGGCAGATGCTGTTCACCCAGGACCACAGATGGATGGTGCACTGGGGGTCTTTCCCCATGAGCTGATGTCCCCAACCCCCCTTCCCTCTTCTCCCTCAGCTCTGGAGTCTCAGGTCCCTCTCCCACCCACCCACCCTGGTGCTGTCAGCTGGTGCGTGTGCAGATCTGTGGACAGGGCTGCTGGGCGTGGACCTCTTTGGCTGCTACCTGTGTGGGACTTGGCTCTGACATCTCCCAGAGTGAAAGGATTTCCTGTCTGCGGCCTGTGCATACCCCAGATGACATCCTCCCATTCCAGGCACGGGTAGCCTCTCTTCCCATCCTGCCCTCCAACTCCCAGAAGACATTTCTGCTGGCTGACCAGGGCAGGCCAGGAAATGGACCCTTGTTTCTTTCCAAAGCAGGTTTTGAATGCCTAAAATTAGGGGGAAAGGAAACCACGAGGCCTGGAGATGGGAAAGCCTTGCTTCCTATCCCTCCATGTTCCCTGAAGGGTAGAAAGAGCTCTAGAATTAATCAACTGCTAATTCCCCTGCAGATCTCAGGGAACCAGGGATCCTACCTGGTAGGAAGTGGGGGGCCAGGCTGCTTATGGGGTGTGGAGCCCCTGCTGACACCACAGACAGGGCCCAGAGAGGCTGAGAAATGGGTTTCCATCCAGAGGAAGGCTGGCTCCAGAGATGGAATCCAGATAAGAAGTCGGGTGCCAGGGCTCCAGGAGTGGCGGAGTGAGAGTGTGGAGGCTGCCCTTGACCTACCTGCAGGTGCATTTCAGGCACCCGTCTACTTTGGATGGGGAGCTGTTGGGGATGCACAGTGAGCCTAGGGGAGGTTTTCAGGTGCATTCCAGAGTTGAAGAAGTTATGAAGAGGGTGAGGGGCAAGCATCTGGCTTAGCTATTAAGATGCCCATATCCCATATCGGTGCGCCTGAGTTCAAGTCCCAGATCTGCCCCCAATTCCAGCTTCCTGCCACACCCTGGATGGCAGCAATGGTGGCTCAAGTGGTTGGGTCCCTGCCGCCCATGTGGGAGACCTGGATTGGGCTCCCAGCTCTTGGCTTTGGCTTGGTTCAGCCGCAGCTGTTGCAGGTATTTAGGGAGGGAACCAGTAGATCTTTCTCTCTGTCAAAATAAAGTAATAATGAATGAATGAGTGAATGAATATTTTTTAAAAAAAGGGGTTGACTGGCTGCCTCCTGATGGTTCCCTTCCTGTCCCTGTGGCCATTCAGCAGGGCCTGGGGTTGCATGGACCCTTGGAACAAGTCTCTTGCTCCACAGTGCACCCTTCTTGCAATTACTGACCCCTTACCCAGAGACAGAGCTGGAGCTAAGTACTTCACATACTCTGTCTTTTCATCTTCACAACAAGGCTATGAAACAAGCTCTATTTTTATGCTTCTTTCATGGATGATGAAACTGAGTTTCAAAGAAACTAAGCAACTTGCTGAAGGTCACTCAAGTAGAAGGTGGTGGAATTAGGGTATCGGTCCACTTCTTTAATATGTATTTATTTATTTGAAAGGCAGCAGGACAGTGACAGAGAGAAAGAGATCTTCCAGTTGCTGGTTCACTTTCCAAGTACCTGTCATAGTCAGGGCTGGGCCAGGCTGAAGCCGGCAGCCTGGAACTCAATCCAGGTCCCCCATGTGAGTGGCAGGAACCCAAGTACTTGAGCCATCATTGCTGCCTCCCAGGGTGTGCATTAACAGGAAGGTGGAATTGGAAACACAGCCAGGCTGTGAACCCAGGGACATCCATAGGAGATGAGGGATGGTGTCTTAACTGCTAGGCCAAACACCTGCCCCATCACTTCCGTAGGCTGCCAAGACTGCACACTTGTCCACTGGGGCATCTGTGAGCCTGCTCTTAAAGCCTTTGGAAACCCACAAAACCCTGGGGGAGAAAGACAGGTCACTTGGGGAACTTACTTTCCTATGTGTTCCAAGGCTAACAAGGCAAAAAGTGATGTCCAACTGTGCCAGGTGCTGTCCAGGGCAGCTGGATCAGATGACAAGTCTACATTCCACCCCTCTCCTGGGGCTGACACACTCGTGTGGGAGGCAGATGTCACAGTGTCTCACGGTATTCCCATGTGCGCCCAGTGCTGGGAAGGAGAGGCCATGGAGGAAGCAAATGGAGGCAGGAGGAGCCCTCAGATCTTATCCAAAGTATATTGGGAGGCCTTCCTGGAGGAAGTTGTACGTAAGCCGAGATCTGAAGACCGAGTGTTTCTTGGCCTCAGCACCCACACTCTGGGAGGGATGGGTTTTGTTACAGGAAGCTGTCCTGTGAAATGCCCTTTAGATGCCAGTGCCAGCAACCAAAAAATGTCTGTGGCCATTGCCAAGTGTCCCCTGGGGGAGGCAGTAAGATCAGCCCTGTCTGAGAGCCCCTGGTCTAGGGAATTAGAGAAAACGTTTCTAGGCAGATCCTAGAGAAAGACAGAGGGAGGCGTGGTTTATTTGAGGAACTGAGAAGCCCTGCCAGGCTG